CGCGTTCCGGTCCAGCTGTTTCAACGAGGACATCAAGGGGGGCGTGTTGGCGAACGAGCAGCCCAGCGGTGTGGTGAGTGGCGGATGGGGCTCCTGGCTCGTCTTGGCTTTCATTGATCGTTATTTTTTGTTTGTTTATTTTGTTTTGGGCTCTTTGTTCATTATTCATTTTTTTTTTTTTTTTTTGTTTTTTTGTTTTTGTTTCTTCCTGTGAGTGACGGATGGGGCTCGCTCATCGTTTTGGGCTCTTTGTTCAATATCTTTCATTTATTTTTGTTTGTTTGTTTGTTTATTTTTTGTTTTGTGTTCTTCCTATGAGTGGCGGATGGGGCTCTTTCTTCATTTTGTCTCATTTATTATTTTTGTTTGTTTGTTTATTTTTTGTTCTTTGTTCTTCCTATAATGGGATGATTCCTATGACGGATGGGGTCTCTTTGTTCATTATGTCTTTCATTTATTATTTTTTGTTTGTTTATTTTTTGTTTTGTGTTCTTCCTATGTGTGACGGATGGGGCTCTTTCTTCATTTTGTCTCATTTATTATTTTTTTTTGTTTATTTTTTGTTTTGTGTTCTTCCTTTGAGTGGCGGATGGGGCTCCTGGCTCGTGTTGGCTTTCATTGATCGTTATTTTTTGTTTGTTTGTTTATTTTTTGTTTTGGGCTCTTTGTTCATTATCTTTCATTTATTTTTGTTGTTTATTTTTGTTTTGGGCTCTTTGTTCATTATCTTTCATTTTTTTTTTGTTTATTTTTTGTTTGTGTTCTTCCTGTGAGTGGCGGATGGGGCTCTTTCTTCATTTTGTCTCATTTATTATTTTTTGTTTGTTTATTTTTGTTTTGTGTTCTTCCTATGAGTGGCGGATGGGGCTCTTTGTTCTTTTGGCTTTCATTGATTGTTATTCTTTGTTTGTTTGTTTATTTTTTGTTTTGGGCTCTTTGTTCATTATCTTTCATTTATTTTTGTTTGTTTGTTTGTTTATTTTTTGTTTTGTGTTCTTCCTTTGAGTGGCGGATGGGGCTCTTTCTTCATTTTGTTCTCATTTATTTTTTTTGTGTTTATTTTTTTTTTGGGCTCTTTGTTCATTATCTTTCATTTATTTTTGTTGTTTGTTTATTTTTTGTTTTGTGTTTTCCTATGTGTGGCGGATGGGGCTGTTGGCTCGTCTGGCTTTCATTGATCGTTATTTTTGTTTTGTTGTTTATTTTGTTTTGGGCTCTTTGTTCATTATCTTTCATTTATTTTTGTTGTTTATTTTTTGTTTTGGGCTCTTTGTTCATTATCTTTCATTTATTTTTGTTTGTTTATTTTTTTTGTGTTCTTCCTGTGAGTGACGGATGGGGCTCTTTCTTTTTTGTCTCATTTATCATTTTTTGTTTGTTTATTTTTTGTTTTGTTTTCCTATGTGTGGCGGATGGGTCTCTCTGTTCATTTTGTCTCATTTATTATTATTTTTTGTTTGTTTATTTTTTGTTTTGTGTTCTTCCTGTGAGTGGCGGATGGGGCTCTTGGCTCGTGTTGGCTTTCATTGATTGTTATTTTTTGTTTGTTTGTTTATTTTTTGTTTTGGGCTCTTTGTTCATTATCTTTCATTTATGTTTGTTTGTTTATTTTTTGTTTTGTGTTCTTCCTGTGAGTGACGGATGGGGCTCTTGGCTCGTTTTGGCTTTCATTGATTATTATTCTTTGTTTATTTTTTGTTTTTTGTTCTTCCTATAATGGGATGATTCCTATGAGTGACGGATGGGGCTCTTGGCTCGTTTTGGCTTTCATTGATTGTTATTCTTTGTTTGTTTGTTTATTTTTTGTTTTGTGTTCTTCCTGTAAGTGGCGGATCTTTCCTCGTTTTGGCTTTCATTTATTTATTTATTTATTTTTTTTATATTTCTTATTATTACTTGTGTTCATTTTTATATTATTTCATTTAATTTCATATTGTTTATTTTATTCCCATTTTTTATTGTTTTATTTTATTCCCATTTTTTTATTGTTTTATTTTATTCCTATTTTTTTATTTTATTCTTGAATTATATTTTATTCCCATTCTTTGCTCATTATTTTCCTATCTCATTTATTCAACCTTCTTTTCTAATTTTATTTCATTTTCCAATTTTATTTTAGAGATAGCAAAAAAAAAACGAGTGAAAAATCGTAAATAAAAGATATGTATTTGGTCATCCTAATTCCTTTTCTTAATTTTCTTTTCTTTTATTTATTATTTTTTTTAATTTCCACTCTCCGTTAATAAATTTGACTCCGTTATCCTAATTCCTTTTCTATTTTTTTAAATTTTCCACTCTCCGTTAATATATTTGATTCCATTATCCTAATTCCTTTTCTATTTTTTAAATTTCCTAATTCCTTTTCTATTTTTTAAATTTCCACTCTCCGTTCATATATTTGGTTCCATATTTGATTCCATTATCCTAATTCCTTTTCTATTTTTTTTAAATTTCCACTCTCCGTGTCCCTCTCAGACTTACCAAAAGGAAAATGAAGACGACGGGCGGTGTCCTTATAAGGCCTCCTGGTGCAAGCAATTCCGGGCCGTCTGCTGGAGGTCTTGGCTGGAGGTTGTGAGGGAGCCCTTCCTGATCCGGGTCCGGTTCCTGCAGATCATGGTGGGTTTGTGTTGATTTCGGTTTCGGTTTTGGATTTTGGATTGGGGGGGGTCTTGCTTTGTTTTTTTTTTTTGGGGGGGGGGGAGGGGGGGTATTTCAGGGTCCGGTTCCTGCAGATCATGGTGAGTCGGTTTCGGTTTTGGTTTTGGATTTGGATTGGGGGGGTCTTGCCTTTTTTTTTGGGGGGGGGGAGGGGGATATTTCAGGGTCCGGTTCCTACAGATCATGGTGAGTTTGTGTTGGTTTCGGTTTTGGTTTTGGGTTGGGGGGGGGTCTTGTTTTTTTTTTTTGGGGGGGGGGAGGGAGGGGTTCTTGGCTGGAGGTTGTGAGGGAGCCCTTCCTGATCCGGGTCCGGTTCCTGCAGATCATGGTGAGTCGGTGTTGGTTTCGGTTTTGGTTTTGGATTGGGGGGGGTGTCTGGCTTTTTTTTTTGGGGGGGGGAGAGAGGAGGGGTTCTTGGCTGGAGGTTGTGAGGGAGCCCTTCCTGATCCGGGTCCGGTTCCTGCAGATCATGGTGGGTTTGTGTTGATTTCGGTTTTGGTTTTGGATTGGGGGGGTCTTGTTTTTTTTTTTTGGGGGGGAGGGGGGTATTTCAGGGTCCGGTTCCTACAGATCATGGTGAGTCGGTTTTGATTTCGGTTTGGTTTTGGATTTTGGATTGGGGGGGGGGGGTCTTGCCTTCTTTTTTTTTGGGTGGGGTGGGAGGGAGGGGGGGGGGGGGGTGTTTCAGTGTTTGATTATCTGTGTATTTGTTCATTCTCCGTGTCACTTTCTCTGTGTGTCTCTGTCTCTGTCTCTGTCTCTGTCTCTGTCTCTGTCTCTGTCTCTGTCTCTCTCTGTCTCTCTCTGTCTCTCTCTCTCTCTCTCTCGTCTCTCTCTCTCTCTCTCTCTCTCTCTCTCTCTCTCTCTCTCTCTCTCTCTCTCTCTCTCTCTCTCTCTCTCCTCTCCTCTTCTCTCCCTCTCCTCTCCCTCTCCTCTCTCTCTCTTCCTCTCCTCCTCTTCTCCCTTCCTCTCCCTCCCTTCCTTCCCCTCTCTCTCCCTCCCTCCCTCTCCCTCTCTCCTCTCCCTCTCCCTCTCCCTCTCCTCTCCCTCTCCCTCTCCCTCTCCCTCTCCCTCTCCCTCTCCTCCCCCTCCCTCTCCTCTCCCTCCCTCTCCCCCTCTCCCTCCCTCCCTCTCTCTCCTCCCTCTCCTTCTCCCTCTATTCCCTCATACTGGAACTAATACAAGCGTGCGTTGCTCCGATTCCAGGCGATAGCGATCATGGTGGGCGTGTTGTACAGGGGACAAACATGGACGAGGTGGCGTGTTCAACATCAACGGCGCCCTCTTCCTCCTTCTCACCAACATGACTTTCCAGAACTGCTCGGCCGTCATCAACGTAAGTAGGCGTTTTTTTTTTGTTTTTTAATAAGTGAAAGTGTGAATGCAGGTTTGGGTTGGGTGTTGGTAAGCGAGAGAGAGAGAGAGAGAGAGAGAGAGAGTGAGAGAGTGAGAGAGAGAGTGAGAGAGTGAGAGAGTGAGAAGTGAGAGAGTGAGAGAGTGAGAGAGAGAGAGAGTGAGAGAGGAGAGTGAGAGAGTGAGAGAGAGAGAGAGAGAGAGAGAGAGTGAGAGAGTGAGAGAGTGAGAGAGTGAGAGAGTGAGAGAGTGAGAGAGTGAGAGAGTGAGAGAGTGAGAGAGTGAGAGAGTGAGAGAGTGAGAGAGTGAGAGAGAGAGTGAGAGAGTGAGAGAGTGAGAGAGAGAGAGAGAGAGAGAGAGAGAGAGAGAGAGAGAGAGAGAGAGAGAGAGAGAGAGAGAGAGAGAGAGTGAGAGTGAGAGTGAGAGTGAGAGTGAGAGTGAGAGTGAGAGTGAGAGTGTGTGTGTGTGTTTGTTTGTTTATCGTGATTATAGATGGTCACGTGTATATCTTTCGTGGAGGAAGAAAGCTTGGCAAACATCGTCGCATTATCATGAAAACAAAATCTCCCCCCCCCCCCCCAAAAAAGAAATAAAATCAATAAATAAAAAATATGATTTAAATAATAAAAATAGATAAATAAATAAAGATAGCAATGAATGTCTACAAGCACTCCCCCATACCCCCTCCCCCCATCCACCTCTCCCCACACTTAACCCCTGCATCTCCCTCTCCCCCCTTCCACAGACCTTCTGCTCCCAAAAGCACCTGTTTCTACGAGAACACTACAACGGCATGTACCGGCCCGACGTGTACTTCCTGGCCAAGAACCTCGTCGAGATGCCGTTCTTCGTGACCTACTCGTTCCTGTACGCCACCATCATGTACTTCATGATTGGTCTGAACCCTTCGCTCGACCGGTTCCTGACCTGTGCCCTCGTGTCGGTCCTGGTGGCGCTGACCGCCGTGTCCTTCGGTGAGTTTGGGGGTTTTTTTGGGCTTTGGTGTTATTACTTTGAGTCGTGTGTAGTGTTGGGTGTGTTGTGGTATCTGTTAAGACATGTGTAGTGTTGGGTGTGTTGGGGTGTTCGTTATGTCATGTTAACTGTTGGGTATGTTGGGGTGTTCGTTGTCATGTTAACTGTTGGGTATGTTGGGGTGTTTGTTATGTCATGTTAACTTGTGGGTATGTTGGGGTGTTCGTTAAGTCATGTGTAGTGTTGGGTGTTGGGTGTTCGTTATGTCATGTTAATGTTGGGTATGTGGGGTGTTCATTATGCCATGTCAACTATTGGATATGTTAGAATATCCGTTATGTTAACTATTAGATACGTTAGGATATCTGTTAAATCATGTCAACTGTTGGATATGTTAGAATATCCGTTATGTTAACTATTAGATATGTTAGGATATCCGTTGTCATGTCAACTATTAGGTATGATAGGATATTCGTTGTCATGTCAACTCTTAGATACGTCAGGATATCCGTGAAGTCGTGTCAAATATTGGATATATTACGATACCCGTTTATTTTTGATGTTTTTTCAACACGCCCAATAGGGATGAGTTGGCGATTTACACCCGCGCAGAACCAGGAAAAAGTGCAGTTTATTTCGCGACGTGAATCGCCCATGAGTTGCTAAAATCTGAAGGTTGTTCCCCCAGGCTATCTCCTGTCTTGTATGGCGAGCTCCGTCAACATGGCCCTCACGCTCCTGGCACCGATGACTATTCCCATGATGCTCTTTGGAGGATTCTTCTTGAACGAGAAGTAGGTTTCCAGAGAGATGACGTTGCGTGTGTGTGTGTTTTATGGTTGTTGTAAAGCGTTGGGTAAATATGCGTTTTATGTTCGTTGTAAAGATCTGGGTAAATGTTTGTTTAATTTTCATTGTAAAGGTTTGAGGAAATATTTGTTTTATATTGTAAAGATCTGGGTAAATATTTGTTTCATGTTCATTGTAAAGGTTGGAGTAAATGTTTATTTAATTTTCATTGTAAAGATTTGAGTAAATATTTGTTTTATATTTATTGTAAATATCTGGGTAAATATGTGTTTCATATCCATTGTAAAGATTTGAGTAAATGCGTTTATATTCTTGTATTGGGTAGTCTTATTTTTGTTTGGATCTTACCATTTTTATTATCTTTGTCGGTTCATGTTGCTCACGATTTCCCAATTTCTCCCGAAATATTAGATCGACGCCCGTCTACATGATATGGGTCAAGTACCTCTCCTGGTTCAACTACGGCAACGAGGCCCTCATGATCAACCAGTGGCAGGGCGTGAGCAACCTGACCTGCACCGGGGTCAAGACCTGTTTCGCGGACGGGGAGTCTATCCTGGCCCACCTCGGCTACTCCCAAGACGACCTGTGGTGGGACGTGGCGTGCCTGGGGGTCCTCATCGTCGTTTACAGAGTGGTGGCCTTCCTGCTGCTGCTCCTCCGCACGCACAGGGGGAAGACGCGGTCGTGAGGGACCGAGGCGAAGGAGGGAGACCTTCCTCGGCGTTCCTTTCGCATAGGAACGACGGCACGGAGGGTCTCGGTGCATTAAGGCTTGTGAAAAGTGGTGTGATTCCTAGTTTGCTGCGAGGCTTCGAGAGACGGAAGCGAAATGGATCCTAGTCTCTGAAGTGTGCTTTGAAAGGAGAAGGTTTGAAGATCAATGTCAGTCTCTTAAATTCTATCTATCTATCCGACGGAGTCTACCCTAGACAGACTTAACTGACGGATGCTTCAGAGATCGGTCTGGAGATGAAGTAGATGCGCTTAGGTCTAGTTTCCGAAAAGGTGCTCATTTTTGACGGACATTTTAAAGCCCAACAAGATTCTCAAAGACTGCCGGAAGTGACGTGTGCCCGTGAAAGGACATCTCGAAGGACCGTCCGGAGTCTGCCACGAAGACATCACCATCTGCAGGAGGAAGAACTTCAACCCTTACGCCGGTTTGAGATACGGTTGCATATGGCTTCTCAAGTTGAATGAAAAAAAAATGTTTCTCTGATGTCAAGATGTTCTTAATCATAAGGTTTGTGATATTTAATCCAAATATATAGATAAACAAAACGTATTTCTGCAGGTGGTGATGTTTTCTTACATTATTTATGTTCTGTGTTGTCCTTTCCCGTTGATACCTGTTAATCGTCGTTGTTTCGTTAAGATGAATCTACATTTCGATTATTACAGAAGAGAAAAATGTAGTTCATCGGTTCCTTTGTATACAGATATTATATTGTTTTATAAATGAATAAAATATAGACTTATTTGTATCATTAATTTTGTGTATCCTACCTAGCACAAAAATGTTTACGATGATGAAACACCATAAGTTACCGGGAAGTGTAAGATGTGGGAATATATGGAAAAACAGAATAAAAATGAAAAGAAAAAACGAGGGTAAAGCCGTAGGGTGTTTAAGGAGCCTCGACTTTCTCTAATTATCACTGTAATTGCCGGTATGAAATAAGGGAGAGAGAGAAGGAG